ATTTGTAGCGAACGAACGATTATACAGAGATCAGACCTACCTAGATTCAAAAACAACGACGAAATTATGAAGAGCTTCAGTGACACTTCCACATTCTGTAGGTATCAGCGGAAGATTGTTACGAAGCTGAAAATCAAAGAATGATAGAGGTTCAAAGTAAATAAAGTAAAATAAACACGCAAACCATATTTCTATCTGAGCATTCGATATCATCTTGATCATGTATTGGATATGATTCATCGTCATCAGACATCGTAAGATCCTCTGGTTGTAAATGTAGATGCCCATTTCGAGTACGATGAGATGGAACCGCTGAAGAAGATGGACGAGACATATCCATATCAACAGCAGAGTGATCATCTAAAACGAAAACTTTGAAACGAGAAAAAAGCGGTAAAATGAGAAAAGTTTCAAGATTAATAAAAAAGACTACGTATCATAATTGAACAAATCCCTGTGAAACAAAAATTCCAAGGAAATATTCAAAAATACCTGTTTCAAGACCGCGTGGAGTTAGTCGCCCTTGATGGCGAGATTTGCGATTATTCAATAGCTCAAGTACCTCCAGATCATCCGCATCAGGGCTGACTTCATGAGCTCCTCTGAAACAGAAAATTCGAGTATTCAAAATAGATTCTCGAACCTCAAAAGATAATTATGCCATAAACAACTTGGAATATCGCAGATAGTGCGAGCTGACTGCTTACAAATGAGCATCCAAAATAGCGCGAATTGAGAAAATTTCGTGAGACTAATTCAGTCTGCATAGTATTCGCAACATATGAAAGCATGCACCTTCTCTCTCTCCCTTCGAAAAAAGAAACGCGGAAATTTTTACCTACGATTATAAAAGACGAATTTCTATCTTGAAGCTATTTGCAAAAGAAAACCCTACCGAAGAAACTTAAAGAACTTCTCAGGTTTAGTAACCTCCCCATCCCTGCACCGAAGAATTTCTCCGACAGCCACATTGTGATTGTATGAACTTTCAAGTACCCAAAGAAAGAAAATTAACCTGTTGCGGAGACACTTCGCACTTCAGGTACGAAGACAATCAATGCCGCAGGTATCATAAGTGCCAATGCCTTACAAAATGACGTTAATATAAGCACAATTTTCAAGCTTACAATAACAGAATACCAACGCTGTGTGTCAAACTCGATTGAGAAGACTTGACGAGTTAAAAAAATAGAGGTCAAAGATTGCCGTAAGTTTTGTTTTCGAGAGAAACCGCACAGCCTCTAGATAACTCAAGAAGATCATAAGGATTTTGGTAGATGAGTAATTAAGCGAAAGAATCTCATTGAACTCCAACCATAAGAAACTTGCTTTTAAGCTAAGGCCCGCGCCATACTTAAACCACTTGCTCCACTTCGCTATTGGTCAAATGAACTACTATAACAAAGCAGATGCCCACTCGATCCACTTGATGCGATTTATTCACTCAGCTATTGGTCAGTACTGATTTGAACAATAACGAAATGGATGAAGCGGATCGAGTGAATCAAGTTGGTGTGTTTAACGACCCCTTCTTTGATTACATAACTAGTTTCACATCACAAAAAAACCCGAACCATAAAAAACCCATACCGTCCTCATTCATGAAATTTTTGGATAAGGGGCTCTAAGACTAATGAGGTAAGGAACTTTCTCATTCATAATTGACATTAGAACATCTAAAAATCGCGCTCTGGCTGAGCATCCTCCTCACGCTAGGTTATCCGTTTAAGGCCTCGCGCATAGTTCACGCGATTTCGTCGCCTCGCGATTCTCCCGA